GGGAGAGAACCCAGGAGTCCTGGCCCCCAGGCCCCCTCTGCCCACACTGCACCAGGATAGAACCCAGGAGTCCTGGCTCCATGCCCACTCTAATCACTAGATCCCACCCCACTGGAGGAGCGACAGGGGTGTTATGAGCACAGTGGGTGGGGGTCGGGACAGATGTGTGTATGTGGGGGGAGCACTGCGGGTAGCAGACAGGGGCAGGGGGCACAGGGGGAGTTAAGGGGGTACCTGCATGGCCGTCCGGAAGCACCCCCCGAAGGCGTGCAGCACTTGGAGGCAGGGAAGGTACAGGGGGTTTGGGGGGTTCAAGGAGCATAGGGGGATTTGGGGGACACAGGGGGGCACAGAGGGTACCTGCATGGCCGCCCGGCCATGCAGCACTCAGAGGCAGGGGAGGTAGAGGGGGTTTGGGGGATACAGGGGGACACAGAGAGGTACAGGGGGGTTGGGGGACTCAGGGGTACCTGCACGGCCGTCCGGAAGCGCCCCCCGAAGGCGTGCAGCACGGCACACACCTCCTGCAGGCAGAACAGCGCCTCGTCCTCGCAGTAGAAGTCGCGCAGCGCGGCCGTGGCCTGGCGCAGCCGCTCCAGCTCCGCCTGCGCCGCGCCCAGCTCTGCCTGCGCCAGCTGCAGGAAGGGCTCCAGCTGCTCCGGGCCCAGCTCCGTCAGGCTGCCGCGGGCCCCCGCCAGGCGCTCCCCCAGGCCCTGCAGCTCCAACGCCACCTCCTGCTCCTGGATCCTGCGCACGTGGACGGGGCGAGGGAACCCGTCAACTCCATGATGCCCCATCTGCCCTCCCACCCACTGGGGCAGGCCCACGGGGCTCCAGCCCCACCCTGGGGAGAGCAGAAACCCTGCCCTGGGGCAGAGGGGCCCACAGGGTACAGCTCTGGGCGCTGGAGGGGGAGCTCACCGTGACGCCAGCCCCACGTGCTCCAGTTTGCTCGGGAAATCCAGCAGACTCCTGTCCTTCCGCTCAGCCTCCTGGGGCAAGAGACAGAGTGACCCCTGCCCCGCACAGCGCAGCCCCCCACCCCATCCCCACAGCACCTAGCGACCCCCCACCCCAAAGCACCACCCACACTTCCCGGAGCAGAGCACTTCTCCCACCACTCTGCCCCCCACAGCACCCACTGCCCTTCCATCCAGGAGTGCTGCCAGCTTTTCTGCCGCCCTAGGCAGCGGAAGGTCCCACCCCGAAATGCCACCCCCCACAGAGGCGGAGGAAGGACCCGCCGCTGAAATACCGCCGCGGTCGCCGCCCCCCAAATTGTAGCGCCCTCGGCGACCGCCTAGGTCACCTACTGGGTTGCGCCAGCCCTGCTTCCATCACTCTGCCCCCCACAGCACACCACCACCTCACTACACAGCACCCCCACAACACTCCCCTGCCCCCCCCACAGCACAGCACCCTCCCACCACCGCCCATGCAGTAACATACACCCCCATTCTCCAACACTGGGAATATTTTTCTACATTTCTATGAAGCCCATGTGTGCCTCAGTTTCTCCTCTATGCTGCATTGTTACCAGTGGGGGGGGAAGGGCTGTTTGCCCTCAGGTCAGGCAAAAAGACGTAGGTGGGTGTCGTCTAGCTGTCTGGGCCTCAGCCTCCATATCATACACCTGGGGAAAGTCTGCACCACTGCACACGCTCAGAATTCACGTACTCCGCAGATTCCCCCCCGCCCCCCGAGGTCACACGGCAATTACGCCCACATAGGGCTGCTGTGGCACCAGGATGGGCAGGGATGGTGTCCCTAGCCTCTGTTTGCCAGAAGCTGGGAATGAGCGACAGGGGATGGATCACTTGATGATTCCCTGTTCTGTTCATTCCCCCTGGGGCACCTGGCACTGGCCATTGTCAGCAGACAGGACACTGGGCTAGATGGACCTTTGCTCTGACCCCTTATGGCCGGTCTCATGTTCTTACGCACCACAGGGCAGTGGGCTCATGGGCCGGAGCAGCCAGCCGTGGAAGGGGAGGGGGCAGAGGCTGCGTTCCTCACAGCGCCCTGCCCGCGGGGCGAGGAGACACAGGATATGTGGGGGGGACAGACTGGGGTGACAGCACTGAGCCAGGGGCTGGGGGGGTGCAGGGACCCACGTGGAAAGGGGCAGATGTGCCTGACTGATTGGGAGAAGCTTGGGGTCAGCCAGCGTCTGCACGGGGGAGGCTCCCCAACTCCCTAACAATCCCTCCCCCCAAAACACCTGTTCCATACTTCTCCCATTGACACCATCAACCCTCCAGGTTCACACATAAGAACAGCCGTACTGGGTCAGACCAAAGGTCCATCTAGCCCAGTATCCTGTCTTCCGACAGTGGCCAATGCCAGGTGCCCCAGAGGGAGTGAACCTAACAGGTAATGATCAAGTGATCTCTCTCCTGCCATCCATCTCCACCCTCTGACAGACAGAGGCTAGGGACACCATTCCTTACCCATCCTGGCTAATAGCCATTAATGGACTTAACCACCATGAATTTATCCAGTGCTCTTTTAAACACTGTTATAGTCCTAGCCTTCACAACCTCCTCAGGCAAGGAGTTCCACAAGTTGACTTCCTTTTATTTGTTTTAAACCTGCTGACCATTAATTTCATTTGGTGGCCCCTAGTTCTTATATTATGGGAACAAGTAAATAACTTTTCCTTATTCACTTTCTCCACATCACTCATGATTTTATATACCTCTATCATATCCCCCCTTAGTCTCCTCTTTTCCAAGCTGAAAAGTCCTAGCCTCTTTAATCTCTCCTCATATGGGACCTGTTCCAAACCCCTAATCATTTTAGTTGCCTTTCTCTGAAGCTTTTCTAGTGCCAGTATATCTTTTTTGAGATGAGGAGACCACATCTGTACGCAGTATTCGAGATGAGGGCGTACCAACGATTTATATAAGGGCAATTAATATAGTCTCAGTCTTATTCTCTATCCCCTTTCTAATGATTTCTAACATCCTGTTTGCTTTTTTGACCGTTTCTGCACACTGCGCGGACATCTTCAGAGAACTATCCACGATGACTCCAAGATCTTTTTTCTGACTTGTTGTAGCTAAATTAGCCCCCATCATATTGTATGTATAGTTGGGGTTATTTTTTCCAATGTGCATTACTTTACATTTATCCACATTAAATTTCATTTGCCATTTTGTTGCCCAATCACTTAGTTTTGTGAGATCTTTTTGAAGTTCTTCACAGTCTGCTTTGGTCTTAACTATCTTGAGCAGTTTAGTATCATCTGCAAACTTTGCCACCTCACTGTTTACCCCTTTCTCCAGATCATTTATGAATGAGTTGAATAGAATTGGTCCAAGGACTGACCCTTGGGGAACATCACAAGTTACCCCTCTCCATTCACACCCAGGCTCCTTCCCTCTCCCTCAGCTCCTCCGTTACCCCGACTCCCCCCAGCCGCTGGGGGACGGGAAATCCGGTTCGGTCTCAGCGCTCTGTAGTAACATGCCTAGTACGGAATCTATTGGTCAAAAACGTTTCCTGACTCTTCCCCATTGGCCGTACTGTCGCAGACACACCTGCTGGTGGGTGTTTCGAAATAAATTACCAAAACCATCGAAACTGGCGCAATGATACTGTGGTATTTTGACAAATGAAACAGGCAGAATTGTTTATTTTGGGGGCAGAATCCCCCCAGGAGCGGTACCATGACCCAGACTTCCCCACCTCTCTGCCGGGAGCCGAGCAGCAGGAGACGGGGCTGGGGTGGGGTGGGGGATAAGCGTGGGCTGTGGGAAGCAGTCGGGGCTCACCTGGGGGTCAGACAGACACACGGCGCTCGAACACGGCGCTCACTGCAGCCCCGGCCGCGCGGCTCTGGCTGACCGACCATCAGGGCTGGGTTCCCTAGGGGTTCCAGGTGCCTGGTAACCTGGCTGTGCCAACACCTGGGAGCGTCGCTGCCCATGCTGGGCAAGGGGCACTGATCCCTGCGGTGGGGGCCCGGCTCCCCCAGGGCAGAGCTCACGGGGGGGGCAGCAGGCCCAGAGGTCCAGTCTCAGTGGGGCCACAAGCCTCAGCCTGGAGGAAGAGTGAGCCCCCAGGGGGTCCAGCACACTGATGGGGTCCCCCCCCAGACTGCTCCAAAACAGGGGCATAACCCCGATCCTGTGGATCCGCGACAGCCCCAAGTCCCCCCCCCACCAGCTGCACCCCCGCATGCCCATACCACCCCCACAACACAGCCTCCCTCCTGAGTCCCTGTTCCCCCCTCACAGCCCTGACTCTGGGGGTGAGCCCCCTTCCCCACTCACCATGGCCACGAAGTGCAGCAGGTCCATGCCTGGCTTGTTGGCCTTGGTGTCTGCCAGTCTGAGGAGAGAGGCCATCCGGAAGCCTGCGGCATGGCCAGCATAGCCCCCCTGACGAGAAAAGTGCACCCCATGGAAACAGGTACCCCCAGCGGCCTCCCTCC